TTTGTTATATGAACACGAGCAAGCAAATAACAAATTATTTACATTCCTATCATTGTGCAAATTGTTTATTCAGATATCATTCTGCATAAATAAATAAAAACTGATTAGATCGAATTACAGTTTATGAAACTGGTCGAAATCGATTATGCCAATAATTTAAATTATATCTGACATGTATAATAAATCTTATACTTGAAACTAAAATAGATGATTGATTAAAGATACTTGAGATGAAGTGGGAGTCGATATAAGAAAATATTTTTATTCGCAGTTTGTCTGCGATTTCTTTAGTGGAAAAAAAAAATTTGGTGTTTATTAAAATGAATTAAATAATTTAAAAAATGAGTTGATTTTAAATGAGACAGTGTGTGGTGCGGCAATTTTCAGCGTCAATTAGGATACTTAACATTTGCTGATGTTAATTGAAGAGCCAGGTTGGTTAATTAATTTTAAAGAGTTTAATTGCAGTTTAAATTTAATTGAGAACAAAATGTGTCTGGAAGCTGAAAGTACTAAAAGCTATAATATATCAATATTGATTTTTACAAGTACAGCCCTCAAGTCAAATACTTTTTATTCTTGGATATGAATTTTCATCATCTTCTCCATTGTGTTTAATGATGCATAAGATGAGAATACAAAATTGCATACATAACTTAAATAAATGCATTGAAGAAAACTCTCGCAGTCTCGAAACAAAGAAATTTATTTCACAGCTTGATATTTTTTGACTAGAACGTAGTGAAAAATTGGCAAAAAGCCAGAATTTTGACGAAGGACGAATCGAACTTGAATCTGGTTATACGAAGTTATATCATGTGTGTGTTTATTTATATTTATAGAGTTGATGGATTTGTTTTATATTCAAATGTTCAATTTGATATCAATATTTGTGATTAATATGGAAGCGTCTTAACCACAATCTACCCACAAAATTTATTCATTTTCTTGATAAATTGTATGTCATTTTTTGTGGATTTTATTGATGAATCAATAGCAAATTTGGTCATTATAATATCAACATTAAATTGCTTTAACAGTTCACTGAATTGCTTAAATAACGCTTTTAAATTTTATGAATGTTTTGTCTTATGATAAAAGTTTCAGTTAGAAAGAAGAATATTTGCAACTTAAGCATACGTGAACGAATTGAATACCTGTCCAGGACACCTAATCCTGGATAGGTATTCAATTCAGACATACTACTACCAAAAATTTGCTGATATTTCATAACAGAATAGAAGCAGATATTTGAGAAAAAAAAAGTATAGCAAAAAATTAAATTCATATAAAATGGTTGGGTAAAGTATAAATTCATTCAACAGTTAACATAACACAATATAGTTTGAATTTATATAACAAAGTACCAATGAATAGTTATCATTTAAATAAAATATTTATAAAAAACAATCCGGACACGGTATCGGCCAAAATTATCAATAGTTCTGTAACTATTAATTACATTAAAAATTAAACTATAATTTAGGATCTTATAAAATTCAAGAAATCTTCTAGATTCAAATTTTATCAAAATTTTACTTTAAATTAGGAAACGTCCATTAATCAGGTGATCGCTTTTTAAGGATTTTTGGACTCCTCCCCACTAAATCTCCTCCACCGCTCAACATTACGTGTATTTTTAGTACTTAGAAAAAGTCGTATAATTTTTAGAAGCTTTTTGAAAAATATGGAATTTTTTAAAATATTTGGTGTAATAAACAATAAATACGCGTGATGATGGTATGAGATAAAATTCGAAATGCAATATTATGGTATGAAATAAAATTCATCTATACCCATACAACCACTTCTCCAGAATAAATATCTTTCCATTTTATTTTACAATAGCTCTATGTAATGCAGTATGTAATTTCCGACACAATTTTCAAGTGTCCTAATCAAAGATCCGATTCGTGTCTGCTATTCATTAATTGGAATCAGAGATATGGTACAAGAGCGCGATTCCTAATAATGTCTGGCTGGACGGTTTGTAGTGATTTACGGTCCAAGTAAGCCCACGCGTTACTTCACCATGGACGCGGATGGTTCAAACGATTTCGCAACATCTTCTCGACTCTGATTGACAGACATGCGTTTGGCAATATTATATCGAGAACTTTAACAAAGTAAATACTAGTAATGCAAAATGAGAAAATGCATTAATGGATAATAATAACATATTGCGGAATGGTAAATATTGGTAATGTGTTGCTATTTTTAAGGCGCCAGAGGATTTGGGAGAAACCTAGTAAATTTGAAGTGATCTGTAGCGCTTCAAAAATGCATTACAAATTGATTGACAGACATAAGTTCAGAGATATTATATCGAGAATTTTAACCAAAGTGAATACTAGTATTGCAAATGATGCATTAGAGAAAAAATACATTAATAGATAATAACAGATTGGGGAATGGTAAATATGGTAATGTGATACTATTATTAATGCACCAAAAGATTTGGAGAAGTTTTAGCAAATATGAAGTGCACTTCATGAATTGCCACTGCTTTGATCAGCAATTTTTTAGCTAGCTGGGTAAAAAAAAATTTATGGTTAATTTGAACATTTGTCTACGTAGAAAAACTGAAATACTTCCTTAAATACCATGGATTCATAAAATCAAACCATATAAAAAAAGGAAGAAAAGAAAACAATTTTAGAGTTCTACAGTTCCTAATTTACTGACAACTACTCTGGTCACACTGTAGTAATTATTTTCAAGGCAAAGATACAGATCGTCCTACATGTGGACATAATTTGTTTCTTAATTCCTTCACGTATGCTTAAGTTGCAAATTTTTTTAACTGGAACTTTTATCATTAAGACAAAACATTCATAAAATTAATAAAATTTGAAAAAAAACGATTTCTTTTGAAGTATAAGCTTTAAGAAGGCTAACCAAAATCAAATTTAGTGTATTTCAATACAAAGTTTGTATTTATTTACCATTTACACTTATATTTATTTTGGAGT